ACACGTAGGTGTATTTTCGTTCTGAAGTGAAATAATTTGGAAAATGTTTAGCCGACGAGATCAGAATTCTGAGGACGAGTGATTATTAGTAAATACCCAAAATATATTGTATCGATCACACTTGTTACTTTTTAATTTATTATATACATAACATCAGCAGTTAGTTTCAGTACTTTTGAAAGAAAAATTTTACTATATTTGTATTTCGTACTTACAATTGGCAATATTTTGCTGCATACCTTTTGGCTGTACTGTACAAACGACGTGCTCACTCCGAAAAAGGAAACTTCTAACAAACAGCGAACGCGTATTACCCAGAATGTACATATATACGCGTGTAAATAACAGACGGTTCAGTCGACAAAAAGAATCAATCAATCTCAAACACTTTCGACGCTGATTAATTAAAAAATTATACGAAAACGATTTGGATTCACCTAAACGAAACGTAATTAGCTTATGTTCGGACGATTAGACGAGAAGAAGAGTGGGAGCGCGAAACGAAAGGGCCAAGAAAGAACTAGAAAAGGCACGACGCAAAGCGACGAACGGAAAGCTGAGATACGGTGGCGAGAGAAGCAAGCAAAGAGAGAGAGAGAGAGAGAGAGAAAATGGCTCTTTTCTTTAAAGCGAGGGTTACTTTAAGGATCGTTCGAGAATCGGTAGTCTCTCCGCCGATGTTTTATTTTATCCTCTCCGCTCCATAAGATCGCATTCTTTACGACCCATTAGACGAATTCATTACCAGACCCGGGCAATAGGTAGGTGAGGTCCGTAAGCCCTCTATCCTTCCTCCTTTCTTCCCTCTCCTTCACCTTCTCCTCTCCTCTCCGCTCCGCTCGATCCTGTCTCTCCACCTTCTGCGTTTATTTTTCGCGCCAGACGTGCTGCCTCTTTCAATCTGTCGCCGAACCGCGCGATCGGAATTCGACGGGGTAAGGAAAGATACGACGTGTGAATCTCTCGCGACCAAGAGAAACGCAAAGTCGAAGCTTTGTGCGAACTCTGTGTACGATGATTTCGCGAACAACGAGCGTAGAAAGTGTTTGCACGAATATTTTACAACTAGTTTTATTACCTGCAACGGCAACTCGTGAAAACGTGCGAGTAACTTGATACGTTCGATGTAACGTTTCGTATTGGGCGCTAGAACGACTTGAAAGGTGAAATTACCCCGATGAGAGAGAAAAATTTCATGTGAAATATTTGCTTTTCGCGTAGAGAAGGATCTGCAGAATCTGTTGAGTCGAGTCCGAAAATTCATTGATTACTACTCGTTAAACGATAATTTCATACAGCTGCAAACGTTGTAGAATGAAACTAGAGAAAGATTGAACGTAGAATACTGTTAGAAATAGAAATTAGAATAAATTCAAAGTAATACAATATAAAGTGAAATTGTACTTTTGACAGATTGTAAATTCCTCAATGGATAATTTCGACTAATTTTGAGAAAAAAGAAAAAAATTTGAAATATAAAATACCAAAAAATAAATAAATAAATAAATAAATAAAATTACTAGTATCATTGTATCGTAATTCGAATTGTGATTTTATATCTACTTTTGAACAGTACGAAAGTTCGGCAAACGACCTTGGCGATGATAGTATCGCGCGGAAAGCCCTTTGACCGATAAGCGATTTCTATGTTGGCAACGCGGTTCTCCGTTTATCTACTTTATCCATCGGTTCTGCCTATTCTTCGAGGATATTATACGAGAGTCGGCGCCTCTGATAACGGAGCGTACGTACGCTCGACCCGATATCGCGTCCCATCGAATTAACAACGCTCCCATTTCTCGGCGAACGATTTTCTAAAACATTCCCATCGTCTTACGTGGACGATGACAGCGATAACGATGATTACATCTTTTGGACGCCCCGAAGTGAATTAATATTTACTATGATACGACAGGGTGTTTCGTAACTTGTGGGACCCACTTCGGGAGCTGATTGTACGCCTAAAAATAATGAAAAAAAAGTCATATAAATATATATGTCCTATCTGTCATCGTTTGTGAGATATAATGAATTTTCTTCTCTTAATTACTTTTACAAAAGATGCTCGAAATGACCACTTTGCATTTGAAGACATTGTTGTTCATCTGGTTACTCTCTCTATCATTCTCCTGCTGTTTCTCGAATTTGTCGAAAGCCTTGCTCTATTCTATTTCGTAGTATTTCAGCATGTTCAATCGATGTTGCGTATACAATAGATTTTAAATGTCCCCACAAATGAAAATCTAATGGATTCAAATCCGGGGAACGAGCAGGCCATGCAATAGGACCTCCNTCGTGTAAACGCGTGCTCAAAAAATCAACGTACTTTGTGCCTGTTAGTTTCCCATCAAGAAAAAAAAGGTCCAATTAAAAATTTATCAATTATTCCTGCCCATACGTTTAAACTAAACTGGTGTTGATGTCTTGAATGCACAATAACATGTGGGTTTTCTTCATCCCAATTATGATTATTATGAAAATTGAATATACCATCCCTGGTAAAATTAGCTTACTACAGTTTGCTCTGTTTATAAAATTCATTATATCTCACAAACGAAGACAGATAGGACATATATTTATATTACTTTTTTTCATTATTTTATTAGGCTCCCTTAAATTACGAAACGCCCTGTATATATATGATAGCAAGAGTGTTTTGTTTCAGTTAATTCAAGCATAATCTTCCGAATATTGATTAAAATTAGAAATATTTGTTGGGGTACCTACGTCGATACGTCGAAGGATGAACAACGTATCATTTGTAATTCCCCTCGATCATGTTCCAGGAAGGATTTGTTTAATACTTTTTCTTCCCGTTGGAGATTCTGTGACTTTGTTATAATTATAATTAGACGGCGAATCTTTACGCATTTCTGAGGGGAGAAGTATACACAAAATGTTCGAAATATGATGATATTTAATAGGTAAATAATTGGAACATGAATAGAACTAGTACACAGGAGGCGTAATTATTCTTTGATTTAAAAGAAGGAGATCTCAAAGTGCAGTTTGACGCACACACGTTTTTCTTTATCTTCATGTCTAGAATTGCTCGTGTATGTATGAGGATATTTGAAATTAGGATGTTAAAAAACTTCAACTATTACTTCATTCATATCGATTGAGAAGAAGAAAGTTTGTCGTTCTCTCGTCGATCTCGAAATTTGACTATATAAAGTTTCCATCAGCGTCAAAATAGTAACTGATCCGTCAGTCGTGCAAAGTATTAAAAAATTTCAACTATCACTTGTGATTTATACTAAGCAAAAAAGAATTTGATTTTTTCTTTTCTTTCCCTCATAGCGACCAGCGTCAAGCAATTAATAATAAAAAAAAAAATTGGTCAACGAATCATTCGAAATATCAAAGAACTTTCAAATCACTCCAATTACTTTAGTCGCAACGAGAAGAAAAAAAGGACTTTGTCATTTTGTTAAAAGTACAATCTAAAAATTTGGCAAAGGCTTACGGTTTTAGAATAACCGAGATTAATGAATTCAGGAACAAAAATGAAAGCTTTCGGCAAACGGGGAAATAATAATTCGATATACTCGCGCTTACAAAGGGAACGCGCGGCACAGGGTGAAAACATGTTTATGCAATGATAAATCAGACGACAATTTACTTTATAACATATATATTTATTTGAGCTTTAATTGCATTTTAAAATACAACCGAAATAATTAAATAATGACAAATCTGGTAAAATGGTTTCAAGAGTCGCGTATACATGATGCATATCTTTGTGGTTGCGCATTTGTAAGTAGGTAGGTACTTTTCGAGCGTATTTTTCGCACGGTTGGCTATTTCCTCGTTTTTTTTTTCCTTCTTCTTCTTCTTCATCTTCTTCATTTCTCTTTCGTTTACTTGTATCCGCGAGTCGCGTACGCGCGCTGCGTTCGATTCTGCGTTACACGCGTTACAATGCCGCGTGTCGCATCCACGTAGACCACATTTCTTCTCTCTTCCTCTCCTTTTTTTCTCATGTCCTCATTCTCTCCCTCTCTCACTCTCTTTCTCTCTCTCTCTCTCTCTCTCACACACACACACACACTTTCTCTCAGCAGTCGTATATAATTACAATAATAATATTAATGTTATCGTTATATCGATAAATACTTTTTAAAGTCCGCGATGGAAGAATTAGAGTTTACAAGAAATACGTATACAAGTGTGTGTTCCGCTCCAGAAAAAACTGCGCTCAACTCGTCCTCGAACGCGCGTAATCACCGGCCCATCTTCGCCGCAATCCTTTTTTTCTCATCTCCTTCATTCTCTCTCCCCCATCCACCCCTCCTCTCCCGATACTTCTCGTCCCTCTTCGCGTTCCTCGCGTTTCGACGTCACGTGCCCCCTTTTGTTCACGCGCGATCGCGCTTGTCCGGATTATCAATCGCTCTCTCTCTCTCTCTCTCTTTCTCTCTCTCATTCTCACTCTGTCTTTCTCTCCCTCGCTTCATAACTTTTCGCTGCTCGTTTGCCCCCTCTTTCGCTCTCATGCAAGAAACCACGCGCGCACGCACGCGGACAGAAGACGAATTTCGCCGAGGAAATTCGGCCCCGGTCGCGCCAATTGTTTCCAGCTGATGATGGAGTGTCCTTTCTCTTACCTTTTCCCTCTCCTTTCTTCTCCCATACTCACTCACTCTCTCTCTCTCTCTCTCTCTCTCTCTCTCTCTCTCTCTCTCTCTCTCTCTCTTTCTGCGTGTGTGTTTCTCGCTGCTCGTTTGCTCATTCGTTAATCGTATAGAGAATAATCGTAATCGTAATCAATATACACGGTATCCGCGATAAACCCGAGCGATAGTAATGACAGTATTTTACACTTAAAACGTCGCGTCGACTCGCACGGCGCAATAAATATTATTTGCACAAAGAAAATTTACAATGGTCTACTCGTACGCTACGAGCGAAGGAAAACGATAACGTTTTTGAAGGAAGAGGCCGCGTCCCCCTTCCCCCTTCCCCCTCCTCCTCCTCCTCCTCCCCCTTCTGCCCCCCGTGAGCGGTGCCCTAAAACACACCGCGGTCCTCGCTGCTATTGCACCGTGTTGTAGTTGCTCGTTGCTCTCGATGCTCTCCTTTATTTTCTCTCTCTCTCTCTCTCTCATTTTCTCTCACTTTCACTCTCTCTCTTTCTCTCTCTTTCACTCTCCGTTCTCGTCGTCGTACCCCCCTCCCCCTCTCCCGGTTCTTATCGCGAACTCTCACTGGTTGACTCTGGTTTTTCCCTTTCCTCTCTCGCTCTCTCTCCTTTTTTTCTTTTTTCATTTTTTTCTTTTCGGACGAGGTTCGATTCTTACCCCCTCCCCCCTCCCCCCCCCCGGAAAAAACGCGATCTCACCGGCTTCGCAGCTCTAAGTATCAACAAAGAGATTCCTATACAAGGGCGGACCCCTAGCCTAGCCTATGCGCTAATCAACTACGCTCTTACGTTCTAGAGGTATACATGCTGATCTGACCTTACGACAGCTGTGTGTGATAGGTTAAGCCTCCCTGTCCTACACCTTGGAAAAATTTTAGTCTCATCCTTGCTGCCATACTTCTCTCTCTCTCTCTCTCTCTCTCTCTCTCTCTCTCTCTCTCTTTCTGTCTCTTCACTTGTGCAGATTCACCCACAGACATACACACAGACATACACACCATAGATTCCCATTCGCGCTCTCGAGTCACTTTCTCTCTCTCTCTCTCTCTCTCTCTCTCTCTCTCTTTCTGTTTCTCTCTCGACGCCGGTCGTAAATGTCCTTAAGTATTTATAAAATCACAAACTTTGCCGCTCGCCGAGCCCCTTTTGACTCAGCAGTGCCGCGAGATATGGTGGCATCACAATTTAATCAACGCACGTTCGACAATCAACCCCCTCTGTCCCACATTGTTCGTCGCGCGACTCGATCGTCCCGATGTCGACACGAGTGTGTTTCGAGTTCGAGTCCGATTGAAACGGCCCACCCGCCGAGAGAGGGAGCCCCCTCGACGGGTGCAAGGAGAACACGGAGAAGGGAAGAGTTGGACGAAACGACGAAGGAGCGAAAAGATGCGTTGGGGGAACAACGGAACAACGGAATCGCGGTTCGGACGAACGAAAGGGATGGATGTGGGCCCATGGAGGCGGAGGAGGCGTCTCGAAGGAGGTGTGAAATTAGGTGTTCCGGTCGCGTCGCTTAGTTACAGTCGTTACAGTATAGATACACTTATGTACAAGTGGCACCGCTACTTACGGGGCTCGGACTATACGTACTTGCTGGACAACTGTTTGGCCAGCTCCGTATACTTGAGAAATTTCGAGTGCGGACTCTCCTCGAGAGGCGAGGCCGCTGACTGCGACGGGCTGCCGTTCGCCTGCGGAAGCGGCGGCGACTTGTTGCGCTGCGACGTAGGTGGTGAGGAAGAACTATGACCGGCCGGCGATGGCCCGGTAGCCGACGTCTGTGAGACCGCTGCTGCAGCCGCTGCAGCAGCAGCAGCCGCGGCTGCAGCAGCTGCTGCTGACCGGCCGATCGTCAATGGGTCGGGGATTACACCATCCTTGACGAAGTGCATCTTGGACAAGTGATGCCTGTAGGCGCCCTTCGAGATGAACGGTGTGTCGCAAAAGGCGCACTTCATGATCGAGTCGGCGGTGACGACGGCGTCGTTGCACGCCCAGCTGAACGCTAGAATCGCTCCTGGAGCCGTCCCGGAGCTGGGCCCGGTCGCGCCTACACCGCTTCCAGCCGCTGCGCTAAGACCGGACGCAGATCCAGGACCGCTGCCACCAGATCGGGCCGCGCTGCTGCTCGTTCCTCGCGTTTCCGTTTTGTCACAAAGCTTTTGCAGCGCAGCCAACGGGTGGCTGCTGGTTTTCCGTCCCTGAGAGTCGATTGCGTTCGAGCTCGAGCCTCCTCCGCCGCCAGCGCCACCGCCACCGCCGCTACCACCACCACCACCACCACCGCCGCCGCCTCCGCTTCCTCCGCCACCGGACAGACTGTCGAACATGGAAGAGAGCGCGCCAAGGCTGCTCGAACCCTTTGTGTCGGGTGTTCCGCGCGGCGTTACCGACCGATCGCTGCTCGTCGGGCTGCTCGTGCTGTTCCTGCAGGGGCTGCGCGCAATTTGCTCCGGCTGGCCGCTCGATCTCGGCGTTGGTGGGTTCATACGAGGCGACATCACCTCCCGGCCTTCCTCCGATCCTTCGTGCAGGCTGCTTCGTCGATGATGATTGAACGAGTTTTGTTGATCGTCCTCGTCCCGGCAATCGTCCACGATTTCCTTCTTCACGAACACCTCCGAGCGATTCGTTTGCGACTGCGACTGCGATTGAGGCTGCTGTTGTTGTTGTTGTTGTTGTTGTTGCTCGTCTTCGTTCGCCACGCGCTCCTCCGACTCCTCGTCTCGTGGTTCCTTCTTCACGACTACGTTCGTCGTTGCTGTCGCTGCAACGGAGGCAGAGGCGGAGGCAGACGCAGTCGTTGTTGAATCTTCGTCGCCGGATTCCTCAGTGGTCGGATGGTGGCGGCCGGTGGACAAGTTTTGCGAGACTAGCTGTTTGTCCGGCGTGACTCGGTGATGGTGGGAATGCCTGGTATCCACCGAGTGCAGGTCCACGCGTCTCTCTGGTGTCATCGTGTCGGTTCTACCGGCGCTTCCTCGTTCCGAGACCGAACTCGACTCGCTTCCACTGCGTTCCCGCCGTGCGGCCGTGCTCGTCGCGTAGTGTTGCTGCTGCTGTTGCTGCTGATGTTGCTGCTGATACGAGCGTAGAAGGTTCATCGTCTGCGGATCGACCAACGGTTTCGTGTAATCCACGCTCTCGTCGATGCCCAGCCGCTTCAAAATGCTGGTGCCCATCGGAGCACCCGGTTGAGCGTGATGCAGGCCCGGTGTTCCATGCCTGACGCGAGAGTCGAAACTTTTCTCGATCAGTTTCTCGATAGCGTTCAACACGGACGGCGATGAGCTACCGGTGGTCTCACCGGTGTTAGGCGTCGGCGTGTCCTTCCCCGGAGTGGTCGCATCGCTGGCCGACGACGGTGACCGATGGTGTCTCGAGGACACCGAAGAGCCGTCCTCGGTGACGCTCTTTCGGCCAGTTTCGGTCGGTGGCAATGTGGCAGGTAGGTGATTCGACATCAACGCGTTTTTCAGAAAGTTTCGCTGGTTCGCTCCCACGGTACCCGCGCCGATGCACTGGCGTATGTGATCGACGAAGATGGTCGTCTCGATCTTCTCACCGCACTTCTCGCACGTGATCCGACCAGCGTGCTTACCGAGGCTGTGGCTCAGCCCGGTCGCCGCATCTCCATTCTTGAACTCGTTCTGCGCGCGCTCCAGCTCCAACAGCTTCCTCACCGGCAGCGACTTTTTACGTTTCTCTCGCGTCTGTCGTCGTCGTCCGCCGCTCTCCGTGATCGAGCGCATTATGTGCTCTTTGTAGTGAGAGTTTTTCACCATGTGGTTGCTCAGTTCTTTCAGCGAGCTGAACGCCTGGTCGCACACCTTGCACGTGAGCACGGCGCTCACGTGGCTGCTGGTGGCGCCGGAACCAGGACCGGTGGTGTTACCAGCGTGTGGTCCGGACGCGCCACCAGCCGCTACCGCGCCGCCCCCACCGCCGGTGGCACCGGTTACCGATCCGCTGCCTCCTCCGCCGCCACCCCCGCCGCTTCCCCCACTTCCACCGCTGCCACCCTTGTTCTCGTCCGACGACTTCCACGAGATGATCTGCTCCTGAGAGATGATGTTGGTGTAGTGCTGAGTCTGCTGCATGTGCGACGTCATCTCGGCGAGCGAGCGAAAACTCTGTCCGCACCACATACACTTGAGTATCTGCCTGGTCTGCTCGGCGCCCTTGCCCAACCAAACGTCCTGACCTCTCACCAACTTCCTCGGCAGTGGCATCGTCTCTTTGATCAACAGATTCAACTCGGATGGACTCTGTTTGCTGCTCGGTGTGCCAACGGCGCCCGAACCACCGCCCCCGCCACCCCCGCCGGACCCACCCCCGTTGTTTCCGGACCCGACGTTTTGCGGCTGGTGCGGCTGGTGCGGCTGTTGCTGTGGCGCTGCGATACCAGCCACGCTCGGTGGCTGCGGATGGAGCGCGGCCGCTGCTGCTGGCACAGGCATGTTCACGCCGCAGTGTTTCGCCTCCTTCATGTGCGTCGTCATCGCGGCCAGCGTGGGGAAGCTCTGCTTGCACCACACGCACTTGAGCACGTCCTTGGCTTGGTCGGCGCCCTTGTTCAACCAGTGGGACTGCCAGGCACTGTGTCGGCTGCCGGACGTGGTACCAGCGGTCGCATTGCCAGCTACCGCTGCTGCTGCTGCCGCGGCTGCGACTGCTGCTGCACCGCCCGCCCCGCCGCTCGCCCCCGCGCTCGAACTCGATCTCGCGAATAGATCCTCGCCGCCAAGCTTGCTCAGTTCGCTCATCTTCTCCAGCGCCTTGGTCGCCTCGCTCGGCTGATACGACTTGTCCAGCGCCACGGACGGCGGCTTCATCTTGCCGTTCCACAGTTGCTGATGATGCTCCACTACACCGGCGGTGCTCTTCGGCGAGAGTTGCTGCTGACTAGTTGCCGCCGCGGCCACTGCGGCCGCAAAGTACGGAAAGTGGGAAGCGACCACCGGCGATGTCCATGGCGAGACGACCGGTGGTCGGCCGAAACCTGCCGCGCTTACAGCTTGGGCGGCCTCCTGGTGGGCAGCGGCGGCTGCAGCCGCCGCCGCCGCTGCTGCCGCGCTGCTTGCCGACAACCTGGACGACTTGCGGACTGGCAATGGTGGCGAGTCTTCCGGGCCTGGTCGCTTTCTGCTTGGTACCGACAGATCCAACGGGCCGTTATTCGCCTCCGCGGCGGAGGACGGAGTTGGTGGCTTGCTCAGATTCAGTATCTGCTCCTCCTCGTCGTCCTCCGTCGATGACGCTTTCCTCGTGCTGAAATCGAGCACGGCAGGCAACGGTGTGGCCGATGGCGAGACCTCGCCAACGCTGCTCGGCGAGACGAGTAGACCGGGGGTGGCAGCCGGTGGTGAGCACGAGGACGATACCAACGGTGACACGGAGCCGCGCGACAGCGGCGAATGGCCGAGCAGCAGTCTCTGGTGGGTCTGTTGCAGGTACGCTGCCATCATTGCGGCCGAATGAGGCGGTAGCAACGGATGGCTGCCGAGCGGCAGCTGCACGATTCCACTCGGGCTGACCGGGCTTGCGCTGCTCCTCGTTGCTGGTGGCGGAGGACTTCCGGTCGCCGGGCCGGACGATTCCCGAGAATCTCTGGAAGGACAGCGCGGGCTCATTGGCTCTCTGAAAGCATGAAGCAGAAAGGGAAGGCTGATTACACGGCGCGACACGGTGGTGGTAGCAGGAGGATCGGGTGGTACTCGCGCGGCGAGAAAGAACAAAAAAAAAAAAAAAAAAAAAAAAAAAAAAAAAAAAAAAGAAACAAAAAACAACAGAGCAGGTGATCGATACCCTGTGTCAAATCCTACGGTCCCCTGTCGCGTGACTCTTGTGCACTCTATGTGCGCGTTGGAATCGCCTGCTGGTGATCGAATCGAAAGACGAAGCACGCGAGGGAGAGAGAGAGAGAGAGGCAGAGGGAGAGAAAGTGAGAGAGGTGGAAGTAGTGTGTGCAGGCTTGTCGACGGCTCGCTCGTAACTGACTGCCTCTGACTGAATGCCGAATGCGTGCCGCTGAGAGACGAAAGGGGAGCAGCAGCACGACGCCCAGCACGCATGCAGGGGAAGTTTTCGATGGGCGGCGGCGGGGCAGCGGAGGACACGGAGGCGCCACTGCCGCAGCCTGCCACCGGCACACGCACCTCCACCTCCGCCGCCCCCGTTTGGAGCTGGTGCGGTGATGCAGCAAAGCGGTACCCGGAGCGTTGGTGGGATCGTCGATGCAGACCGACGCGTAACACGTGCCTATCTCTATTAGCTGTATGACGTCGCACGGCAGTCACCGATATCGGTCTCTGGCACCGGCTTATTTATCCCTCCTTCGTTCCATCATTCTCTCGCTCGCTCGCTCGCTCGCTCGCTTTTGCACACGAACACTATCATCCGCCTTTCTCTGATACAATTTCTCTCTCGCTCTATCTATCTATCTGTCTATCTATCGTTTGTGTTTCCTTTCGCAGAGCAGCGAACAACGCGACGTTTACACCGTTCTCCGGCTGGCGCGCGGCACGTATCCGTGACGATTCGTTGCGCTCAAACAACGGGGAATAGCGTACAACGTGTGTACGTAGACACGAGGGGCGGCCGACGCCGGCAACTTCAAAGGGAAACGGCAGCGGCGCTCTCGTTGATTTAGGCGGTTTATGACCAAGCTGCGAGCAAAGCACCGGCTAATGACTTTCGGGCGGGGATCGTGCCCGGCCGAGATTTACATCCGCGCCAATTTTCAACGGTCGCGCCTTGGGATTCTTCCCGACAGTCTACGACTACTCTATGAATCGAGTTGGGTGCTTTTAATTGCAAGTTGCGTTGTTTCGAGAGGCCCGAGACGAAAGGGAAACAGAGACAGAGCTTCGTTCGACGGAGAAATCTCGGTGATCACGTATCGACGTTTCGTAGTGAGTTTCACCTTGGAGGATTCGAATCTCATCGCGAGATACCCGATCCTATCTCTCTAACAAGTATATACTTGTTTTTATCTCGTTTCGCTTTCGTTTCCCTCGAGAAGCGTGACCGAATTGAATTTTGGAACTGAATTTTTGAACCAGACCCGGCGGATCGTATCGGGACATTTCGAATTAGTTTCTGAAATGTAATTAATCATCGAAGCACAAGGAAGCAATTTATACATTTATAAATTCTATTTCTACGTAACAGAAAATTATACGTTCAACTGGAGATGTTACATTTTATAACAATACTCTCGATGGGTGTCAAAGAGTTCGTATACTTTCATCGAATTAAAAGGAACTATCTCTAAATAGCTTCTGTGTTGTCTGCTACCACGAGAAGGTACATTTTCAAAATTCATTTCATTCACGTTTGTACGAAATTCAGTTCGAAAACCAGAGGGAGAGAGTAGAAACGCGACGATACGGATTTTTCAGTCTTTCTTTGGAATACGCGAGACGATGGTTGGAGTGAATCGTTACCTGTCCGGCGGTCCAGTGTCCCTTAAAATAGCAGGATTCAGTCTCGCGGTTGCGGAAGGCGGCGGAGTGGGCGGCGATGCGTCCTCGTCGTCTTCTTCGTCGGTCGCGTCCCCATCCTCTTCCTCTTTGGCTGCCGTCGTGCAACCCCTCTCGCTAGGACTAATTAGGCCGTCATCCTCCACGCAGTCGCCTTCCTCCGCCTGGAGGTCCGCGCCGGGCCCTGAGCCTTCGACTCCGTCCTCCCCTGCAATTTCAAAAATCGTACCGATCGTTTCAGTAAAATTTTCGACGAGATCGAGACGAACGACGACGATTTGTTGCAAATCATGCTACGGTGGATTCTCGATTTTTTAGTTAATCGCGACATGAAAATTTTAACATTGGAAGCTGTCAAACTTGTCAGTGTAACATTCTATTTTCGATAAGATTTTTCTCATCGACTCGCGTTCTATCTATTTTAATTGTTATCTATGTTAAACTTGTGATGATGTACGCGTGGAAACATCTTGGTATCCACGTATTAAAAATCCAAGTGTTTCATGCGTATCGACACTCGGGTTTCACGAAACCTACGTCACTTTTCAATTTAATTCTATTCTTTTCGTTTTTTTTTTCGTGTGACGTTGACGCACGTGCTCTAAAATATCGAGTCAATATTGAGTCGAACTCCGGTGTTATTATCAAGAACAAAAGGTACAATTGTAAACAATAAAATATTAACGAAAAGACGGTGAACTCGGAGAAACAGATTTTCTAATTCCATATTGTCAAAAGAACTGAAAACTGATGAATCTAGTGAAACCAACGATTCACGAGCTTTGCTCACTCGATTTCACACACGAGAATTTTTACAATTTTCGAGGAAAAACGAATACTCTCAGAAATCACCTTCGAAGAAGTCGAAGTAGAAGCTTGACTTGCGGACCATAACGAGTGACCAAACGAGTGCACAATAATTCGACGCTTTTTTTATTTTTTTAAACTCGTTGGTATGTCACTGGATAGAAATTATCGAGGCGTAAGCAACTTATCATTTGTTTCGCCTGGGTTATACTTAAGTATACTTAAAAACTGAGGAAATATCGCAATTTTGGGACGAAAAATTCACGTCATGAGACCAACTGGATCGTTGTACATACTTTCCTTTCTTTTTTTTCTTCTTTTCCTTACAGAGTTACATCAATTTAAATTATCGACCATCGTACTGTCATTGTGTACTGTATTTTGCGTCATGAAACCTAAATGTCGATACACATGTTTCAACAACGTACAGATCTTCAACGAGAGTTTGATCCCCCTTGGACCGTCAACTCGACAGAGCGATAACGAACGTAAAAATCAAACTTCAAATACGAAATTCCTCTCTGCAGGAGTTGTTTCTTTCCAGTTGACCCCGAATCGAGAATCCAGCGAAAGAAAGGGAAAGAAATAAGAGATCGACGCGTCTCGTAACCGCTCGTCGTCTCTGCGGCTGAATTTGGAAACGGAGAAAGCCGCGAGAGGGTGGTGAGAGGTTGGAAAAGGACGCGAGGACGGTTGGCGTAACACAATGCCGTTATCGGTTCATTTATCGGTCTTTCGCCGGGGCCACGACGCGACGTCGACGCGGCGAACGACGCCGCGGCGACGTTACACGCCGCGCTGCATCGAGCGTGTCGAGCAAAAGTCATCGCGAGCCATTGTCGTTGCGACCTACGGACTTCCGTTGCCCTTCCATTTGTGACTCTTAAACGAATCGAGCATTCGAGGACCGAAACGAGGCCTGTCGACGTGTTTCACGCCTGCTACACCAACACGTACACAGGCACTGTTTCGCGAGGCGAGATTGTGGCAGGTGGTCGTGATCTGGTTCGTTCGAGACACACGTAAAGACAAAGGGCACCCGTTGGTCAAATAGTCGCGTTTGCTGTTTGAGAAGATAAAAACTATTGCGGATCTAACGATAATCGAGTATTACACGGATTGTAAATGCAGGGAGCTGTTCGGTGCTCCGAGAAGATGGCTAGAGAATGGCAAAAGAATTATGGTAAAACGTTATGGGTACTCTAAATGTCAACTTCTCAGCTCCTCCTTAGACCAAATTTATTCTACGGAACCAGGTTTGTGTCCTACGTGTGTGTAACGTTCCAAATACCAACTGCTCTCTGTTATACGCTACTATCTCCTCATTCCTAAGTTTTTCGACTCGATCGAAGATCTTTGTTGCAACCCAGACACTTGGAAGCGTGTCCAAGCCACGTACATATGAAATTCCACTGTTAGAAGCTAAAAAAAACGGCAGTCGGTTGTAGTTAACAGACACGCTCTGATCGAGTGATCTGCTATTGAAAATTGCAGACAACGTCGGACTCTGAAGCAAACAAAGTTGTTCGTGCGTAGGCTTCTCAGTTTTCAACAACCCTCGACAACCGATTAAACGCAAACGTTGGATCAGACGCACGAGCTGAGAAATTGACACCTGCTCGTCTGCTCTTCCTAGAGATGCTTCGTCCCGAACCGATGGCATTCCGGATTTCCGGCCGAACCGAATGGCTCCACGCCATCTTGTCCCGCGTTGACGCTTGTCCTCAGTCCGAGATGGCGCAAGAACAGAGTCTCTCCTCGGGATCCCGGGGATCACTCGGGGGTCTTCTCTCCTCGGGAGAGAGCAGGAGCAAAAAGGAAGAAATAGGCGGAAGGCAGTCGCAGCACACCTCCCTTCCGGCGAGGGGTGGGGACGGGCAGAGGACGACCGAGCACCGTCCTACTTTGCCGACTGGCCAACCAAACGATCGTTTGTTCGCCGATGGGCCACGGGAGGACGAAGGAGGGAAAAAGAGATCGCGCGTCGATCCCGGGGCCGAGGCATCGGCAACTAATTACGCAGATTTATGTCCCCATTGTCCATTGTCTCGGCTGCGTGGCCCTGCTGCGACCGTGAACGGATTCGATGGAAGACGAAGAAGCCCCGTGCCTGTGCTGGTATCATCGGGTACCGGGAGGTGTGCTCTTCCCGGAGGAGAGGAGAACGAAGGCAACGGACCAACGACCGCGAAGACGGCCGGCGTCGACGATGCGAACGCTCGCGGGTAAAAAGGGAACCGAGGTGGGCATCCGTGGATCGGTTGGAATCGGCTCCGGGTCCACCGAGAAGGGATACGACGCGATGCGACAAAACTCGCGGACCAGGGCGGACCACCGGTTCTCCATTCGCTCCGCCCGCTCTCCCGGCCGCAGCATCCCCCGATCCGTGCTTTTTCCCTTCTTTTCGCTTCAGTTTCGCCCACAGAATCCCTCGTTCGCGTTTTGCTCCCCCAGGTAAACTACTCTTTTCCTTCTTCTTCTTTCTTTCTTTTCTTTTCTCAACTTAGTGGTCATTTCAATCGCGCGAGTTCCTCTCGTCCCGGAACCGCGTGCACCAGGATGTCGCGCTCCGCGCTCGGAATGCAAATGCTCGCGCCACAGCGAGGCTGGAGAGTAGCTAGGATGCTTCCGCTGGCAGGTCGTTAACGAAGGAACTAGCACGGGGTTGCGTATTCACCGGTCCGGGAGGATACACGACGAGAGGGTGAGAGAGAGAGAGAGAGAGAGAGAAAGAGAGAGGGAGAAGCGTGTGGCGTACGGAGTTTCAAACGGGCCGAGTGCTCTGACACCGGTTAACAGATGCTGCCGCGTGATATCCAGCGTGCTCACCGCCACGGGAGCGAACGTCGTGGCGCTTCACCAACCACTGGATCCTACTGGATGCTAGGCTAACCGACCTGGAGAGCTCCGGGTAACTCTGGTTGTTTGCCAGAAGTTGCAAACTTCGTTTTTTTCAACGATCTTTTCTTGCGCAACATACGAAACCAACATATTTTAAAGAGGGAACTTCACCACCGTTGAATGATTTTTGTTGCCTCGCCATTTTCGTTTCAAGTGTTTGAATTTAATTTAATTATTTAAATTGATTTTGGTATGATCTGATTGTCTTAATTGTTGAATTTAAAAGTGCAATTTTACACGGTGGATACTGTTGCAGCATTGTATCAGATCTATGTGATTGTATGAAGTATGTACATACGTGGTATTATATGGACATTGTTATATTAGGTCTATATAGTTTGATGAAGTTTGGATTTGGTTATTATTATATTAGATGATATTAGTGGTTGTATGAGGTGTGAATGTATTATTACATTATTATGGATGCAAGTATTATTATATTAGATCTATGTGGTTATATGAAGTATGGGTGTGAATGTTATTACATTAGAGCCATGTGGTTGTATGGTGTATATAATGTGGACATTGTTATATTAGGTCTATATAGTTTGATGAAGTTTGGATTTGGTTATTATTATATTAGATGATATTAGTGATTGTATGAGGTGTGAATGTATTATTACATTATTATGGATGCAAGTATTATTATATTAGATCTATGTGGTTATATGAAGTATGGGTGTGAATGTTATTACATTAGAGCCATGTGGTTGTATGGTGTATATAATGTGGACATTGTTATATTAGGTCTATATAGTTTGATGAAGTTTGGATTTGGTTATTATTATATTAGATGATATTAGTGATTGTATGAGGTGTGAATGTATTATTACATTATTATGGATGCAAGTATTATTATATTAGATCTATGTGGTTATATGAAGTATGGGTGTGAATGTTATTACATTAGAGCCATGTGGTTGTATGGTGTATATAATGTGGACATTGTTATATTAGGTCTATATAGTTTGATGAAGTTTGGATTTGGTTATTATTATATTAGATGATATTAGTGGTTGTATGAGGT